ACTCTCTAGTATTTCCTCTGGCTGTCTCCGGTCCTTGCTGGATACTAACTGCCCCAGTGAGTGTGCATTCCTAATGTTCCCTTGGCCTCGGTGAGAAAGATGATTGGTAGAATTAATTGTGGCTGCAGGCAGAAAGGGAATAAGTGGTGCGGGTGGGAGAGGGGTAGAGAGATGAGGGGGGCACTTGGTAGTTTTAGTCTTGTTTATGTGCTTTGGGCCTGATGCTAGAGGATGTAGCTTTTTTTTCATTTTATGCAATTGTTAACACAGTCACCGGAGTCCTTTTAGGTTTATTAGTTCATTTAGTGTGAAGTGGTGATTTAGTGTACACCTGTGTGCTGGCAGCAGTGAGATAAGCTGGTCTCGTGCAATGACAATCATAATGTAATGGGCTGTTCAGCTCCCGTGACACTAATACTATAACAGGGTAGTTTATGTCCCGTACTAGGGGTGTCATTAAAGAGACAAATGGACTCTCAAATAGGGAATCCTGTGCAGGTTGGGGTTTGGAAAAACAATTATGGGAAATCTATTGAATTCTTTTTTATTATATTTTATGACTTGCAATTATTATTATTTTGTTTCATTTTATGTTTCTTGTATGGACCGGGTTTTTTGTATGATGGAGATCTTTTTTTCCAACATTTAAATTAAAGGCTATTTACAGTTATAGAGGTTTATCCTAATAATTTAATCATAACAATGCACATTTTGAAAAAAAAAAATGGATTTTTAAAATATAAAATAATATAATAAATGCATTAAGTTAGTAAAATATTAAAATGAAAAACAAAGACTATATTTGAAAAATAAAAATAAACTGATATCTGTGTTGCAAACTGACCCACCTTGTTTTGCTCTTGGTCCCTTCCGTGTCAGCAGCTTACAGGCTCCTGTTGATAGATTTATGAACAGCTTTTATTGCCCGGTGTCATGCGTGTATAAGAATATAAGGAGTTGGGGGTTGGGGTCTCGCTCTCTCTCTGTTTGTGTGAAGGCTTTGGGGGTGAAGAGAGTGGGGTTCTTGAGAAGCGCCTCATCATTTATTTATACAATCTACAGAAGAAGGGGCTTTGCCAAAGGAGGAACTGTCTTCTACAAGTGTCATGGGAATACTGGAGGTCAAAAGATGTTTTTTTAGCCACCAGCACATTTCTTTGTCTGAAAAAATACTCACACTAATGGAGTGTCTGGTTATCTTTTACTAGCACCGATGTTTTGGAGGGCCCCATGTATTGAGTACAGATAGATTTCACACCAGGAAAAATATGTAAACAAATTTCACAATTACTCCAAGCAATAGATTGATTGCAATATTAAAATTGTAAGTTGACATACAATGATTTAATGGGGAAAGCAAATAATTGTTAAAATAAAATGCTTTGAAATGTCAGATTTTCCAACATGCTGTGTTTTCTGGCCTCTGTGAATGAAAGGACTTGTGCATGCTTTTAATTATTCATTTTATTGTAATGATTTACTATGTTCAAATGGCACTACTGAACCCATCTATTGATTTTCCTGCAGCTTTCTATAAATTAGATTCTACATAAATAGAGGTCATGTGACCTTGGGCAAGTAAGAGCCACCACAATGTCTTTCACACAGCTCCAGGATTTTAACTATAGGAGCATATTTAAAAATATTATTGTGGTTTTATTTTGTTTTTGTTTCTTTATCAAAAACAGATTAATCTAGCCATTCCTTGTTTTCAACACACACCCTAACCCAAAGCAAAATGAACAAAATCAGGATAGAAAGGACACAATGTTAAATCAATATGCAAATTCCTTCCTATAGAAATACATGTCTATTCATATTGTAGTTAATAATAATATTAAAATACATATTTTCTTGTAGGCATCCAGAAATGTATAATTCGGCCACACACTGACTGACAAGACTGGCTGAAGTGAATGCCAAATTGTCCAGGAAGAATATGACCTTTTAACAAAACTCATTGAGTGTCCCCTGATCGATTTTTCCAAACAAAAGAGAAAACACTTATTCAAAACCTCTACTTTTGCAGTCAGCCATTTTGAACCTGTCGAGTCTAGTGCGTATCACATGCTGCTGTCTTTGTGGTCAACTTTATCTACGTAGAGCAGTGATAATGAGAGCCCATGCTGTGAGACAGGACAAAGCCACTACATCTGTCACTGCAGTGGATGTCAGAGGAACGTCACATAATTAGGTTTTTTGGTTGTACAGTGTGCGATTCACACTGGGCCTGATGGGTTTGAGACAATGTAATTATGAGATGTTGATGAGGCTGGTTTGTGTTGATATGGCGTGACAGTGGAGCTGGAGAGGAGGAGGCCGGTGACGGTGGATTAAATTAGGCATCATGTTGTCTCACAAATTCAGATTTATCAGCACTTCTAACATCAGCATACCTCTGCTTAGAATACTTAATGGGCGCTAAATGGCAATAGTTGATATTTCAGTAGTTTTAGTTTCAAAGGTTTCAGAGATGCTTTTGTGATCTGAAACTTTTAAAAATTGGTGAAAAAACTAAACAAAAAAACTGCATCCTGGTGTGAGAGAGGTAATTTCTCCACAGATCTTGTTGTAATGGTTGCAACGATCCAGGCAAGGTGGAGAAAAGCAGGTGATGGACTCTTCGCCAGAAAAGTTACATAGTGTAAGATGGTGTTATAGTTCCCTTGTGATGCAAAGGGTCTCTACGTTCATGTTGCATGGTCATTAGCAGTGTAACCTTTTACTTTAAAGTACAATGGGCTCCTAAGCAGTTGCCTGTGGTTCTGCCTGCTTTATTTTGTTGGAGCATTACTCATGTTGTAATGGCTCAGTGATGGCTTAGGTACAGTTATTCTGCTGTGAGTCAGTTCATTGTCAGTGAGTACAGCCCCTGACCACCACTGTGCTGTCAGTACTGGTGTTTTACTAGCCTGTCACTGAATGGCAAGTGTGGCATTCCTCTGTTGTATGTTATCTTGACCTTCATAGACCTGTCACAATTACACATTTTGAAGTGTGATATATTTCCTTAAAAAAAAATCTAAATGTACAGTATTATTAATGCACATGGACTGAAATTAAATACTTAATCAGTCATCTTCAAGTTATTTATTGAACCCTCTACTGCTCAAATATTCAGCAAGGTTTAAAAAAATAACAAAAACTTCCCATTAGTACAAAGAAAAAATGGCCATGATAAATATTGATCTCCCAAAATAATTGTTCCATCTCTCATGTATTGAACGAAAAGTCGATATAGTATTTATTGTGACATGCCTACATGTAGATTGTCACCATCTTTCACAATTACTTTGGCTGTTTCATACAGATTTTCTTTCTGTATACATGCTTACTGCATTGTTCTTCTTGATTCATTTTTGAACCTGCTAATCTTAAGAGACAAACAGGCAAAAGAGTTTTTGAATTGCAAATATGTGAAATGAGCTACAAAAACTAAACAAAGCAGTGGAGTGGATTTTGATTTCTCAGATTTATTCATATCTATCCATAACTACACTAAACCTGGATAAATGAGATGTGGTCATGCACATGAAGAAAGCTCTACTCCATCTATGACAGCTCAAAATGGAACTTGAAATAATGGACTTAAATGTGATATATAATCTGAATTGTGATGTACTGTGCATTAAGTGCAGCATTGTAGAGCTTGTCTGTCTTTCAAACACCTCTGAAATTTGCTTTCCTTTTGCCATTACTAGACCAAACTTTAATTAAGTTACCATTGATTGATGTTAAGGTCCAGTAATGGTAATTTATTTTCCTTGTAAAGCTACAGAGTGTAGCTATACTCTGCAGTTGTAGGTGTGTGCTTGTGTGGAGCAGACTGAGGCAGGGATATTGACAGACGACGCCCGGGGCAGCTCTTTTTTATTACTGACTTGAACTGAGCACCTCTCCATCTCGCGACCGCTGCCTGGACTCACTTTATATAATAGCTAATGTTTTACGAGGTCTATGTCTGCTGAGCTAACATTACAGCTTTATCCTGAAAAACCTCTCTCACCCGCTCAAAACCACTTAATTCTGTGTGCGGTGAAGGTCCTTTTATAGCTTGTACTCGTAGCTCAATGGAAGCAAAGGAAAGACAGATAAAGCTTGTTGGAGAATGTGGGTTGTGCCTGGCTGCGTTCATTTTGTTAGTTACCGTGGTTTCATGGTTCATAGAGCTGACATTTGGAGTACATAAATGCATTCATTTTTCATGACATTCACTGAGTGTGCAGCCTGTTTACCTGCTCTTTGTAGTGAATGGGCAGAGAACTCTCACAGACGAGGCATCGATGTTGATTGAATTGGCCCGACTGATTCCCAGAGACAGGAGGAAGTTGTTGATCTAACTGCATGTCTGGATGTGCTCAGTAGTAAAAAGTTAAACTATTCAGGTCAAATTTAGTCCTTGTAAATGTGCAGAATGGTGCTGCAAGATACATCACAATCAAATCAAAACCAGAATTTTAATGATTGCAATTAGTGAATCACAGAGACTGTAATTAGATTGGCAGCCAACAACAAAAAAGATACAGTTTTCTTATCTATTAAAGATTTGCTGAAATACATGTGATTCTTAGGCAAGCTACACACTACGGGATTTTCCAGTCTTAAATGATTTTTAAATGTGCGACAAAAACCGCACACCACAGACACGAGGAGAATCATATGAGATTTTAAATTTCCGATCACAAAGACTGCTGTGTTGGATATGGCTGCATATCATACAAAGTTGTGAGCGCATCATGTTTCCAATCTAGAGTAAAAATACTCGCCTTGAGTGTTCAAAAGATTGAAACACTTCTAGTTTAGATACAAGTGCTATTATTATTTCTGAAATCTGGTGTAAATGTAAACTTTAGTGGTTTAAAGTAGATTTGTTTCTGAAATGCCTGAGTCCAATTTAAATTTCTGCAGTCTGTCAATATCTTGGGACTAAATTTAAGTCCTCTGAATTTTCATAGTTGTCATGTTTTAAATTGTCCTGTCTTTTCTTCTTGTTTTTGCAGTCACAGATGATGACACAGTGAAAAGGTACTATGCCAAGTTTGAAGAAAGCTTTTTCCAAACGTGTGAGAAGGAGCTCCTTAAAATCAACACATTTTATTCAGGTTTGTATTGTATTAAGCTGCTTTTTATACAATCATTGAAACTTATAAAATGTATTACATTAGTGATGAATATTATTATGATTCAAAACCAAATTTAGACTAAAATTAGAGGAAAACTTCATCAAGTTATTGTTTTGTTAAAATGTTTTGCTTGGTTTTCTTTCCAAATGTGTTGATCTAAAGTTGTTGACTGTTTGGGTCACTAGTAAAAGCAGTGTGTATTTCGGGGCTTGGGTGTGCTGCGTAACATGAGAACAGGCCATTACATATTCTGGTATTCTGGTGCCAGGAGGGAGCCCTCTGCTTTTGAACCCTGTGTCATGGGTTGGAGGGTTTAATGTTTGCCTCCTACAGGCCGTTAGTTAAACTGCAGCCTCCTCAGAGTCAAGTCATGGCCAAGGTTAACTGTATGAGTGTTTGAGCTTATAATGATGCATGTAATGGCAGAGAGGCAGGAGAGAGTCAGTAAGCATAGGATTTATTACCTACCACATGCCTTTACATCATTTGATAACATAATGATGGACAATGTTAGGAGAAAGATTGTAGTAAGATAGTAGTAAGATTTCTCCAACCTCTTATCTTCTGGAAATAAAACTATGTCCAATTTAACAAAAATACTAAACTAGTTTATAGTCTGTCCAGGTAATGATTGCTCTTTCCACTTGATGTTATGTGATTTTTAAAGGTCCTATATTATGCAAAATAGCTGTCTTTTACCTTTAGTTCAATAGAGATTGGCAGTTCAGGATGGAAATTATCCATATGAGTCTAGTGAAGGTGTATGGAATTAAATAACACTTCCTGTTTTACCTCATGACATCACAAGGTGGAACAGATTGTTTTCTGTTTAAGAGAAAAGCTCAGCCTAAATATGCAGGGTTTGTGTGCAAGAAACAAAACATCATAACAGAGAGCAGAAAATATCATAACATGGGCCCTTTAAATTATGTACCTACAGATAAAAAAAGAACAACTAAATACTCATTAGCCCATATAGACATTGCATCCAGTAAATAGATTATTTATCGTAGTGGTTTCATCTTCTTCCTGCTTATCCTCTGCACACAGGAGGTAAAGCGGTAAACATGAGCACGCTGTGGTCTGACAGGCAGCGCTATCTGGTGCCAGTTTCTCTGTTTGTGTGGTCAGGGTGAGAGAAAGAACTGCAGAGATGGAGATAAAATGGCTGCTGACTTTTTATAAAACACTTGCCTCCACACTGGGCTCTCCCTTTGTACCTCACTCTAAAAGGGGTCCTCGACCTTTCAGAAGCTGTGGCCGCACTGCCCTGAAATCTGCCTGTTGGGCTGCACTTTCATCTGCACTGGGCAACAGCTTCATGGAAAAATCATATTTATTCTTCACACATTCAAATCTACTATGTGTTTATTTTTATGATTCATGACCAGCTTTTATTGTATTTCCTAAACCACCAGCTACTGTTATTTCTTGGTTTACTCACTCTGGAGCATTTGACTTCATGTAATTTCAGTATCCAAGTAAATTCAAATATGCTCATAATAATAGGATTATTAAGTATGAGTTAGGCCTGTCGCAGTAAGAAATTTTGAAGCGTGATATATTTCTGAAGGACATATAGATGATAAACAGTAATACTGAAACAAATGTATGCCATGTTATGACACAATAACTTGGCTTATCTCATCTCATTATCAATCTCATCATATAGCCAAAAATTAACCATCTATCATGTGTTGAACGATAAATTGATATAGTAACTATCGTGACAGGCCTGGTATGAGTGTAGATTTACATAAGCAGTGCTTTTAGGCATCCCTGAGGGGCAGTGACTGAGGAGTGTGTCTATATTAAGGCAAATCTTGTATCAACAGCTTGCCACTGAGAATATTTTAATGGTAATGCTTCAAACTCTATTACGTTGCAGAAATAGAAATGACAAATCCATAAAAGGTTAATGATGTTAGATTATTAGATTATAGCAGACTCTTTTTAGCGTCACAGTCTTTCTATATGAGCTTTTTAAATAGATGTTTCTACTCCAAGTGTGTCTCTGGTTTCTCTCTTGTTTACTGGATTAACCTCACTATGACCCAGATAATTGTTCCTTACAGAGCAGGATTTACATACCCTTAATAGCTTCAGTCAATCGTCCACTGCTTCCTGTTGGAGGAAATGTCTGATAGCTGCTCATAAAGATTGGTCTTTTTATGTTTATTTGTACTGTTTGCTGTTTTCATTCATTTTATTAATACTTAGCAAACTGTAATTTCAAAGCCTTAATGTGCACTATTATCTGTAAGTTTTCTAGTGGAGGATCACACCCTTGTCTGTTATTGCTTTGCCTGAAATGTTCTGCAGTATGGTTTTGAACTCTGCATTTGAACTTTCCCCATGGCAATAGACAGGGTTTGATGACTTACTATGAAACATTTCAGGCAAAACAATTACATCTTCATAGAGACAAGACGTTATCCAACCCTCCACCAGAAAACACACAATGCGCACCTTCAAATTAGAGATCAACCTTTTTTTCATGGCCAGTGCTGATGCCGATGTTTAGAATTCAGAGAAGCCAATGGCCAATAACCTCTGCTGTTGCACTAAAAAGCTTAAATATCGGCTAGAGAAATCAAACAACCGATATATATCCGTTTGTCTCTGCTACAAATGCTATAACTGTTGAACAGCATAAAACCAGATGATTTATCTTGGCTTGACTTATTATAATAGGTATGTATGTATTCTCATGTGCGGCTAAGGCTATTTTTTAAATTATTCTAAACTCTGTGATCCTGTAGAGAAGCTTGCTGAAGCCCAGAGGCGCTTTGCCACTTTACAAAATGAGCTGCAGTCATCCCTGGACGCTCAAAGGGAGAGCATCACCCCTCCAGGTCTCCGCAGACGTAAGACCGTCTTTAACCGGTCCCAGGAGGAGCGTTGCCAACATCGCAACATCAAGGACCTCAAACTGGCCTTCAGCGAGTTCTACCTCAGCCTTATCCTCCTGCAGAACTACCAGGTCTGAATGCAGTTAGTCTACACTAGAGCAGGGTCACATCAGATCGCTGGTGATTATATAATCGTGATAATCACCAACAAAGATAATTGCCATAATATCACCAGAATGTGCAGAAAAAAGCAACTTATCCTTAATGATCATTTTTACTTATTCATAACATTAAATAATAATTATTCATATCCATATCATTTTTAAACTGTCAGCTATTTAAATAATTATCATGATATAATCATTAATCTAAATTATTTTGGCCATGATAATCGTGAAACCAAATTTCTATATTGTCCCATGCCTACTGGTGATATATTGTGATGATATACACTATGAGTCAAAAGTTTGGAAACACTGTCTCATTCAATATTTTTTATGGAATTTTATGGAACTACTTTCAACATTTTATATACATTTGGAAGACGTCAAATATATGGAGCAAGATATATGGAAGTATTTAGCAAAGAAAGCATGTTAAATAAC